TTATCATCAAATAATAGCATTCACGTGAGTTAGATACAATCATTTTGTGATTAAGACAAAGAGGACAAGTGGAATAAGGTGAGAGAGAGCAATGGGTAAACATACCTTAAAAGAAAAGGATCAGGACGTGGAGCACAACACTAAAAGGGAAGGAAGATCAATTGAACAAAACAGTAAAGAATAAAAAATCCATCTAAAAAATAGAAGAGTTATTATTATTTTATAAATTCTTCCCAACTGCAATATTAATGCAGAAACAGAAGTTTTGAAACCAAAATAACTTGGCAGATGTTACAGGTCTCTTGATAGTCTGAATTAAATTAACAAAAGCTTTTCTTCTTCGGGAATGCTCTAATATCCAATGAAACCATTTCCAACACCCAAGACGAAATCTTTTTCCCAAAACAATAACTGTCTGTAAGAACAGTGTCTCAAAAAGCTTTTGTTCTTCGGTAATTCCCGACACCCACCCATGTGAAACCTCAAATTCATGAAACGATGCCCAAACAACATTTATTCATAATGTAATGCAACAGAATGTCAATCTCGTCCCAATTAGATTAAGAGCCACTAAGATGATGAAGAATTCGCACTATCAGAGACATATAAGATGAATTCAAGACAAGAAATAGGATTAATTCAAGGATTGCAGGAAGAAGAAAAAACAGGAAAGACATTCACTTACCCCTTTCCCCGACAATGGTGTTCGGCGACTTACTACAGCAACCAACAGAGCAACAGCGACCAAGAACGGGAGCTCCATGAAACCAGTCGACCCACGAAGTAGGAACACAAGCGAAAGAATAAATCGATGGACTTTGTAGACAGAGCATCTCAAGGTCCACACTAAAAGAGGCACTTTTCTTGCCTCCCACGACAAGTATTGGGGCATTGCATCAGAGATAAAAAAAAAACATGGCCATGTCTTTTTCGTACATTTACTTTTTTTTCAAATGCAAATTACCAATCCCATCAAATTTAAGACTATTATAAATAATATTTTTAAAGTCATGTATGTGCCATCCTTTTTAATAAAATTGAAAAAAAAAACATGTGACATAACTTGGAGTTAAATAAAATAAATTTAACTATATATGATATGGTTTTAGCCTATCTCTTATAATTTGATTTATTAGTTTTAGCTTATAGTAAGATCTACACAATCTATCTGATTTATTAATTTTTTATATGATATAATAAAAAAAAGTAAAGAATAAAGTATATTGAGTACTCAAATTTATAGTATAATTTTTTTTTTACTTTGTTAGGTTGTTGGGCAACTGTTTTCTTTTTTTGTTTTTTTAAATGGATTTTAGATGCATTATATAAGTCTTTTTCAATCCTTACCTTCCTAAACTCCTTTTAGACTTGCTTCTTATTCTGTGGGAAAAAGCCAAACTCTGATGTCATATTATTAGATTAAATAAGAATATATATTTATTTTATTATTATTTATAAAAAGATATCTGTATGAGTTTGACATGGGTGGCGTGAAAGAAAAAGGGATGATAAGACTCAGCATGACTACACCAACCTAACCTATTATAAATGTTCACGTGAATGCATATCTTTTCATATTATTAAATTAAATAATAGTATATATTTATTCTATTATTATTTAAAAAAAATGTGTAATGTAGCAAAAGAGAATGGTGTAGCGAAAGAGAATATTGACTATAAATGTTCACGTAAATATATATCTTTTCATATTATTAAATTAAATAATAATATATATTTATTTTATTATTATTTAAAAAAATATGTGTATGAGTGTGACGTGAGTAGGGTGAAAAAAAAAAGAATGATAAGACTTAAATTCACTGAAGCAACCTAACCCACTGTAAATGTAGCAAAAGAGAATGGTGTAGCAAAAGAAAATATTGACTATAAATGTTCATGTAAATTCATATCTTTTCATATTATTAAATTAAATAATAATATATATTTATTTTATTATTATTTAAAAAAATATGTGTATGAGTGTGATGTGAGTGGGGTGAAAGAAAAAAGAATGATAAGACTTAAGTTCACTACACCAACCTAACCCATTGTAAATGTAGCAAAAGAGAATGGTGTAGCAAAAGAAAATATTAACTATAAATATTCACGTGAATACATATAATGTTACTGTTTTATGAATGTAGCAAAAGAGAATGGTCGGTCTATGTTTGGTAATTCTTTGCACAGAGACACGTGTCTTACATTTTTTGAAGAGAGAAAGAGGACCGGTGATAGTTGGGATTGCACATTACCATTATCAATTACTTTTCAAATACCTCTTCCTATACCCTATACCTTACATTTTATCAATTACAATCTTAATGGTACGACTTCCTTTTTCTCAATAGCCACATTCTTGCTTTCCTCTTTATCTCCTTTCCATGTCATTGATAAGCCTAAAATATTCTTCAATCAAAAAGAAAAAATAAAGAAAAAGGTAGGTCTAAATTGTTGTCATGATAACTTGACAACTACACGTATCATTTAAAAAACATGTTTTAATTGGTAACAAATTTAAATATGAAAATAAGATTTGTGGCCAAAATACATAAAATGGCCAATATAGACAGTCGTAGATTAATCCAAAACCTCAAGTAATTCAGTTATGTTAATGATATTAACAGTGCCAACTTTCTTAATTTAATTTTAAATAGTATTTGAAAGGTTGTAATAATATACAACTCTTACTTTCATTAGTTCCCTTTCTCTCCTTAGAGGCCCCCTTCTCTCTCAAGGTAAGAAATAATTAAAAGAAATAAAATTTATTTTTTTATATGAGGGAAAGATAATATTTATTACTCTCTTCCTCTTATAATACATAATATTGATTGCTATTTTACTACTCATATTTTTAAAAAATTAGCAAAAATTATTTTTTTAAATTGTATATTTATTAATTATACTCTCATTATAGATTTTATATAAATACATTAATAATAATAATTAAAAATTTTATTATCCAGTTTTTTCGTAAGATTAATATATAAAATATAAATATGATTTAAAAAAATTATAATAACTATTCAAAATCGATATGACAGTAGAAGTTAATGACTAATTTTAATGAAAATAGAATTTTTTTAAAGAAGTGAAATCTATTGTATCAAATAATATATTTATTCAGTATTATCTTTTTTTTTTTCCTAGTATCAATTTCATGTTGTGCAATATGGCACTAGATGTATAAAAGAGGGAAGGAAAAAGGCATGGGAGAACTAATTTTCAATTAGTATGTATATAAAAGTTTGTTATATAAAAAAAGAATAAAATAAAATATGATAACAATACAAATTCACTCAGTCACTCATTAATTTTAAGTAGAATATAAATTTAAAATTATTTATTTAAATTTTAATGATTTAAATGGTACAAATATTTAGTATCTGTTTTAAATACAAATTCATTATTGGCATATAAAATATCTTGAAAATCAATCATGAGTAGAGCAGTGGTCTCTCATCTGTGCATTGGTTAATTTATTATCATAAATATTACTTTTACATATAAAGCCTACTATTTTTACAACTTTTAAAGTCTTTTATAAAATAAAACAAATATAGAAAAAATAACCTTCTATTACAAATCTTAATAAAAGAGTTATTCTAAATTCCAATTGAAATTTCCTATACAATTTCATTGGATCAATCTCGAGATTATTAATTTTATTTTTTAATAATTATTGAGTGGCACAGGCACAACTCTTAAGCCCCAATTTACATTGAAAAACTCATTACTTTAATATATTTAAATACGGCTATTTTTTTGGGCTAAAAAAATACAGCTCATTTAAATTTATTAATAAAGTTGGTAAAAGAAAAGGGAAAAAAAAAAATCATTGAAAGGCTTGTATTAAAGCCTGCACATACAGAGAGCAGGCTTGATGTGATATGACTATGGGCTTAACACTTTCACCGGAGTAGGGAGCACGCTTTGCCTACTATAAATATTTTTTCTTAAAATATAATATTAAAAAAATATAAAATGCAAACCATGTCTATATATAGTACACATTCCATTTCTTTCATATAATATTAAAAGTCATTTGCTAATTTAAAAAAAATAAAATTTATAGCCATGCTAATATATGCAAGAAGTAAGAGAAAGATGGCATAGAGATGCTGTCTTAATCACAGAAAAAACGAAAAAACAATAGGCATTACATGTGAAAGAGGTAATTATATTAATAACTAATACAGGGATCAGAGACCACCGCTTTGCTCGGGATTCTCAAGATTTTTTACATGCCAACAATGAAATTAAATTCAATAATTATATTTAGTATCCGCACTCTAAATTATTAAAATTTAAATTAATAATTTTAAATTTATACTTTACTTAAAATAAATAAATAAATTTATCTAAACCATTAATATTCATGTTGAGAAGGAAGAATTTATTAAAAATATCTAACTAATGGATGCACAAAATTATGCAAATTTTTTACAAAAATGCAAACTTAAAACTAGGTTTCATAAACGCACTAAAAAGTCAATTTACTCTCAAATTAAAATAAATTTATAAAATCTAATTTAACCACTTTTCTTTTACACTTAAATACATTTTGTTAATTTTTCTCATATATATTTTTAAAAGTTTATTTTTGAACTAAAATACTTCTAATGCACAAAACCTAGATATTTAGACAAATTTGTGTGCACTTTAAGCTAATAATATATAATAAATAATCTTAATTGACATATAAAAGTGTGTAATAAATAAGCTCTATTAATTTCTCCACACTTATCTTTTGTATTCATGGCAAAATCATGTGAAATGAACCCACAAAACATCAAATCAATTGAAAATCAAAACAAACGTTCAAAATTGCCAAAGTCAAGAATGCTCAGTCACCTATTCAATTTAATTGTAATAAAAAAATAATTTAATACGTCATAAAAACTTATTATATGATAGATCATAATAGCATTGTACAATCTAAATAATTGACTTCACAATGTGGAATAAAGCCTATTATTGTAGTATTGGAGAAAATAAGAAAGTAAGCAACATGACAATTTCACACACCCTCATAAATATTCAGCACTTACATCATGCAAGTCACAACATTACATACATCACACAAGTCACAATATCACAACATTTAAACCAATTCCTTTCATTCATCCTTGCTTTCTTCTTTTGGAAACATTTTTTTTCATGTGCCTCACTAGGTACTTAATACATATTATTTTACTTTTTATGCTGGCATGACACCGAAAAAAAAATTTAGTTTATCTCCATCTTCCAAGACAACCGACGCCATCTCCAATTCATATGGATCCAATGCACATTTAACTTCATCTAGGAGTTCATTCCTATATTCATCCATCGGAAGTGGCCGTTGACCTTCCACTGTGAATTCAGAACATTGTTGCTTCATTCGCATTTCCCTTTGCTTCCTCGCTGGGTCATATAGAGCGGAATCTATGATGCATGTTCTGAGAAACTACAAAAAAGCAAGAAAGTTCTAGTTGTTATTAGTGCTTGGAGTATTGCACCAGCTTTTTTTTTGAAATTGAATTTGAAGATTGGATGAGATTGAATCTACCCAGGCAGGACAGGAAGGACAATGGTTTAGAGTGGTAGGTAAATTTTGGAGTGGTTTGTTGGATTTTGTGAAAGGAGGGAAACAGATGTATGTTTGGTGAAATAAAAATTAAAAGGGATGCATTTGATTTGAAATGATGCATATTGAATTTTTTTTGTAACATGGTGATAAGACATATTATTTATACATATTTATTAACTTAAAGAAACCATTTTACATACCCAATAAGAGTTCATATGCATTCATATTACATTTTTAGTATAAATTTGCCCAAATATTGAGTTTACACAAATTAGAGGTATTTTAGTCATAAAATACACTTTTTTACTAAAGTGAGATTAAGTTTGAAAATTACGTCTTTTAATGAGTGAAGATTATTGATAAACTTAATTTTTATTGATTTGACCTAGGTTAGGAGTTATTAAAGAAAAACATTTTAATGTTGTCTCTTTAAGAAATTTTCATTTAACCTTTGATTTAGTTTAACTGAGTTTATCTACATTTGTGTCTTATTAGGCTTTATTATTTTGAATGAATTAAATATTCTCATTTTATTCCAATTAAATAAACGTCACTTTATGATTATTTAATTTAATTATGACTTAGGTGGATTAATATGATAATTGAAGACTACAACCACTTTGCAAGTTTCCATCGCTTTTATCTCATTTTTTTCTTAGTCTAATTCATGCTCCTCACTCTCCATTCAAATCACAAACTCATTTTCTCACATTTAAACATTTTCTTACATTCTCACTCGTTCTTCAATATTTTTTAAATTTTAATATTTTAAATTAATTTATATTTGATTTCAAAGTTCAATTTATTAAAGTTCAAGTTTATATTTTCAAATAAAATCACTGAATTATAAAGTAGGTATTCTAATACTTGTTTTGAAACATTTTAAACCATAGACTTTTGATTTGTTTTTTCCTTCCTACTATGATCAGTCATTTAATAACTGATTAAAATCTATCACCATAGTTTGGTAATCATATAAATTAATCCATACTTACCACGGAGGTTTTGGCTAAATATCAAGGTAATAAGGAAAACGTTACACCTTGCTACATTAGAGTTAGGTCTAGTAATTACTTTGATAGATATGCGATTAGCCTAATCACATGGTTGAGGCAAAAGAAGAGGGTATTGAGAAAGTGATGAGTAAGAAGATTATTGATGTGATTAGATGGAGACCATTAACAGAAGGGTGGATCAAATACAATTGTAATGGTGCGAGCAAGAGAGATTTACTCTCGATAGGATATGGAGAGTTTTGAGAGATTGCAATGGGAATTAGATACTGGGGTTTGCAAGATGACTAATTTTTGCTGTGTAGTGGAAGCTGTGTTGTGGGGAGTTTTAATTGGTCTGGAGAAAAGGCAGAAAATGAATTTTAGGAAGATAAAAGTGGAGATTAATTTGATGGTAATGGTTAAGCAATTGACAACCATGAGTTGCAATGGGTGATTCCAGTAAGTTGCTGCTAAAAGTAAGGAACTGGTGGAAGGAATGGCAATTGGTTGTGAAGCATGTGGCGAGAAAAGGAAACCAGTGTGCTGATGCAATTGCTAATGTGTAAGGTAGTTTGGATGAGGTCCTATACATTTGGACTGAGATGATTAATTTTGTTAAGCTCATTTGTCTTCCTAATAAATATATCTGTGGGTTTGATAAAGGATAGTTCACTGTTAGTTGTCTTGTTTTCTAGTTTTGTTTTGTAGTTTTTCTTTGACGTCTTAGCTGATTCACAAAGGGCAAGAAGCCAAGTTTTAAAATTTAGGACATTTACGTGGCAGTAATTTAGGCTTGTTTTTCTTACATATGGGTGATGTCACATTAAACCAATGAATCAACAATTCAACATTTAAGCATCCAAAATAATAAATAATAATTTGTTGAAGAAGATAGAGCAACTTTTTTTAGTCGAAATGCATCTAAATCGTTTCTTTTCTATTGTAAAATATAATCTCTGTTACTATTTGTTTCACAGTGAAAACAATAATAACATTTTAAAAAAAATCAATAATAATGATGTGTCCTTATGCTAAAAAACCAAATCGAAACAATACAAAAACAAATTTAGGAACACACAGCCAAGCAAAAAAAAAATCTTTGATCAGAGAATCAGCCTATGCCTGATGTATATGTCGTAGAGACATCTTTAACATCAATTCTCAGAGATATGGCAACTCATCAAAGCATGTATCACAGTAAATATATTTGTTCTACATGATATAACAACTCATCAGAAAAAAAAATTCAAGACACAAATTGAAAATACCTGAGTATCATGGTGAGAGTGTAATTGTTGAGATTCAGAGGTCAACTTTTCATGCGATAGTAGAGGCCAATTGCGCGTTCTTTTAAGACGTGGCATTTTCACCCTATCTCTTCAATCAAATCAACCTTTAACACAAAATGTCAAACATTATTATTATTTGTTGTTTTGGCTGAATGTGGGTCTTATTGGGTGTAGACTTACAAAACACAAAACCTAAGTTTTTTTTATAACATTATTTTTCCTTTTATATTCTTCCTTTTGTATTCTGTAATTAATTTCATATTTATTATTAGATTAGATTTATAGCCAATGAATTGAGGGATTTGAATCTGATTATTCTCCATCTCCCTCATTGATATATGTATCGCAGTTCTTTTCAGAAATATACAAGAAATTACTTGGTAAATAATTTCATTTTTCCACCCGAGAGAGTTTCCAAGTTAATCATTTTCCAGAATCAATTATACAATTCATGAAACATAGTTCACAACCAAAGGTATTACAAGATAATAATAGGATATTGATCGGTCATTAGTGATCTCCCTTCTCACAAGGTTTTTAGGAAATCAATTTCAAAACACTTTATCTTCTATAAAACTCCAACAACTTATCTAACATAAAAACCGAAATATAAGAGAGAAGCAAGAACTGGCAGCACATCATCACACATCAACACTTCAACAATCAATTACAGGAATGGTTTTGATACCTTCAGGAGAAAATCCCTGACACCTATAAAGCATGGGGTATGAGTATAGGATATGATTCTATACGAAACATAATTAAATACTAAATATTTAGATACACATATTTTCAATACAATAAATAATTAAATAATTCAGCAAAATATCAAATGACAAAATAATGATTCTCATGTTCTTCATTAATAGTAAAGTTAAAAGAAATGAACCATCTAAGTAAAAAAAACATTATATCTGTGGTGGGGTTAACTTGTATAATTATAAAATTATAAAAGATTAAATAATAAATTATAATATTTTCTTGATCACAGAAGTAATTTTCGCAGCTCCCACTTTCCTTTACTAATATGAAAAAAAAAACTTTAATGCACGACTATGCCCGAGGACAGCGACGGAACAGAAAATGTGAACGGAGGTGGACAATTTCAGAACAGATGAACTGACCAGAGAAGAAGCGCCGGAGGCCGGAGAAGATAGCGCTGGAGAAAAACTGAACGAAAGAGCGACAGAACCAATTTCTGATATGAGGAGGCTGGAGAAGACAGCCGGAGAAGAAGCAACGGAATACAGAGGTAAGGCCGGAAAGACGCTAAAACCGTGACTGAGGAGGCGTCGGACTGATGATGTGACGGCGACCGTGGGTCGGAGAGACACAGCAATGCTCGCACGCGACAGATTTTGCAGAATGAAGGGGTAAAAGATGGACTGGACGGAGCATATAGTGCTTCCGATTTTGGGAAAAATTAAAAGAAAAGGGGGGCCAAAACGCAGAATTTGCTACGAGTTTTTGAAACGAATGTCTGCCGAGAGGCAAGAGAATTTATCTGCATAATGTCTTGAAGCAGGAGAAAGATTGTATGGGAATTAGGATCTTTGCCTTTTCATTAGTGCTTGTGGACGATTGCATGATTTGAATTAGAGAATTAGGAGTACCTGGAGGTTGAAGCAAAGATTGGGTGACCGAGATCAGCAAGCACCGTAAAATTGTGACCGTGAGTCAGAGAATGGCGAGCATGCACCCAAGTAAAAATCGCGACAGTCGAGAGAGGAGCACTGGTCAGAGGAAGAAGATTGAAATGTGCCGGAGGAGGAGGAAGAAGAAGACGGGGCTGTTGGTGAGAACTGAGATGAGCGAAGCGGACAAGGGTTCGGTGAGCCAGAGGACTTGTAGTTACAATGAGTACTGTACAAATGGACTACAGTCAGCCCATGGGCCAGCCTACGCGAGCTGTATTTTGATGGATTGAGTATATATATTTACAATTATTCTTTTTATATTCTAACAAGAATTAATATTCATACATATCAATGTACTCTAATAACTTTTTTTTGTTTTATTTTTTCTTCATTTTTTATTTTAATATAAAATAAAGTGTGTGTGTTTTGTTTTTTACTTCATTAAAATACAATAAATTTACAAGTTGTCCTTAAATTACTTCATCACTCACAGACACCAAGTCAAGTTAAAGAATAATGATATAAATGTAGTTTCTTAGTTCTTTTCAAGATACTTAATCTACCTCATTCTTATTATTCTAATTATTATTGCAATTATTTAGACAATAATTATTCCTTGAGTTTGAATCTGTATGTGTTCTCAACAAGTTAGCAAGGATTATTTTTATATTATATAAAATATGCTCAACAATTCTTTTTGACCCCCAATATTTATTAACCTTAACTAAGAGTTAGGTAGTTAGCTATATCTATACACATATTTGCTTGATCTTGATTATTTTTAAATTCCACACTTAGGGTTCATGCAAATTTGGAGTCAAGAAATTTAGTGGCTAGCTTTGGATCATGTTCATAATAAAATGTAAGGGAAAAAGATGGAAATAACATTCTTGAGTTAATGGGAAAGTTGCCACAAGAGAGAGAGAGAGAGAGAGAGAGAAAAAAAAAAAACCGGCATCAAGCTACAGCTCGACGTACACACTACCATTTCTCAACCATTTAGCTAAAGACGAGCTGGTAAATCATGGAGTGCATGATTACATCCTTCAAAAATTAGTTTTAGTTATTTTTAATTAGAGTGGGTAATTTAAGCAAGCTTAACTTATTTAGATCCAGTTTAAAATATTCGAACATATAAAAAAACTCGTATAGCTAAACCTGACTCTAACATCTCAAGCTTTTGGACTTATTCAGGTTTAATCAAATGACTTAATTATTAAATATTATTTTATTTTACTTTTCTTTTTTATTCAATTCCAATTTATATCTTAAAAAATTAAGATTTTTGAATTTTGTTAATAATGAGAAAAAAATTCTAGAATTTGGACTAAGCCCATTGCTTAGATTTCTTGAAGCTTGTTCAGGTTGCTAGAAGTAGAGAATTTCTAAACTCTCAAGCTAAGCTCTAAGATTTTTTAAGCTTATTCTAGCCAACCGATAGAGTTTTAGGGTTCGGGGTTTGAGTTACAAGGTTCAAGGTTTAGGGCTTTTTTTATGGTTTAGAGTTTCAGGTTTCGGGGGTTCGGGGGTTAGGGTTTTTAGGTAGGGTTTGGGGTTGGGGATTAAGAGTTAGGGTTCAAGGGGTTTTGGGTTTTGAGGTTCGATGTTCGAGGTTTCAGGCTTGGGGTTTAGGGGTTTGTGGTTGGGGTTAGGGGTTGGGTTTAAGGTTTTTTTTTTTTAAGGTTTAAGGTTGAGGGTTGATGGTTTCGGGGTTCGATGTTTTGGGTTTCAGGGTTCGAGGTTCAGGGGGTTAGAGTTTAGGGATTAGGGTTTTAGGTTTTAGGGTTTTAGTGTTGGTGGTTGAGGTTTGGGGGTTTGATTTTTAAGGTTCGAGGTTTTGATGGTTTAGGGGCTTAGGGTTTGAAGTTTTGGGCTTAGGTTTCAAGGTTTAGGGTTTAAGGTTTAAGAGTTTAGAGTTTAGAGTTTAGGGGTTTAGGTGTTTGAGGTTTTAATGGTTTAGGGAGTTATGGTTTGACTTTTTAGGGTTCGGGGTTTAACGTTTAGGGGTTTGGGGTTTAGGATTAAATGGTTTAGGTTTTTTTTTATAAGGGTTTAAGGTTTAGGGTTTAGGCTTGATGGTTTAGGGTTTAGGGGTTTGGGATTCGGTGTTTAGGGGTTAAGGTTTAGGGTTTAGGGGTTTGGGATTCGGTGTTTAGGGGTTAAGGTTTAGGGTTTAGGGTTTTAGATTTTAGAGTTTTACGGTTGGAGGTTTTGGTTTTGGGGTTTAGGTTTTTGAGGTCAAGGATTTGGGGTTTCAAGTTGGGGTTTTGATGGTTTAGGGATTTAGGGTTTTAGGTGTTCGAGGTTTTAATGGTTTAGGGGTTTATGGTTTTTCGTTTTTAAGGTTCGGTGTTCGGGGTTTAGGGTTTAGGCATGTGGGGTTTAAGATTAGGGTTTAGGTGTTCGAGGTTAAGAGTTTATGGTTTAAGGGTTTGGGTTTAGGGTTTAGGGTTGTTTTTTTTTAAGGTTTAAGGGTTTAGGGTTGGGGTTTGAGGGTTGGGGGGGTAGGAGCTAGGGGTTTAGGTGTTTGGGGTTTTGATGATTTAGCAGTTTATGGTTTTACATTTTTAGAGTTCAAGGTTTAGGGATTTAGGGTTTTTTTATTAGGGTTTAAGGGTTTAGGTGTTCAGGGTTTTGATGGTTTAGGGGTTTATGGTTTTACGATTTTAGGGTTCGGGGTTTAGAGTTTAAGGGATTGTGGTTTAGGGTTAAGGGGTTTAGGGTTTTTTTAAAAGGTTTAGGGTTTAGGTGTTTGGGGTTTAGGCTTTATGGTTTAAGGGTTTGGGGTTCGGCTTTCACAGGGTTAAGGTTTAGGGTTTAAGGTTTTAGGTTATAGTGTTTTAGGGTTGGGGTTTGGGTTTGGTTTTTGGGGTTCAGGTTTTCGAAGTCGGCAGTTCGAGGTTTCAAGTTGTGGTTTAGATGGTTTAAGAGTTTAGGGTTTTAGGGTTTTAAGGTTCGAGGTTCGGGTTTCAAGGTTGGTTTGGGGATTTAAGGTTTTTTTAGGGTTTGGGGGTTTAAGTGTTTGATGTTTTAATGGCTTAGGGTTTGGGGGTTTAGGGTTTAGGATTTAAGTGTTTGGGATTTAGGGGTTTAGGGTTTAGGATTTAAGGGTTTGGGATTTAGGGGTTTAGGATTTTTTTTAGGGTTTAGGGTTAAAGGTTTAAGTGTTCATGTGTTCAAGGATTTCGGGTTTAGGATTTAAAGGTTCAAGGTTTAGAGTTTTAAGGGTAAGGGGTTAGGGTTTAGGAGTTAGGGGTTGGGGGTTTTGATGGTTTTGGGGTTTAAGATTTAGGGTTTATGGTTTTTGGGTTTTAGAGTCCAGGGTTTAAAGGTTTAGATGTTCAGGATTGTTGCTCACCGCATCTGCATAGATTGTAGCAAGTAATATAATGAAAGTAAAGAATCATTCTCTCGAAGATTTGTTTAAAAATGATGAGCTGTACAACTCTGCCACGGTGGTTCGAATCACACATTCATAACCAATTTGAGACTACTTTCAATCAGCCATCACTTCATATAGTTGAACTTCTAATTCCTTATGATCCATGACCCTATGACAACTAATCAGGTAGACGTCGAATTCTGAATGAAAAGCAAGGTAGAAACATTTACGTGCTAGTTTTTTGAGGGTCTATAAAGTCGTAGAATAAACCAGTTTTTCATGTCTAATCTGTCAACAAGGGGTCTAGCATAAACAGTGAGAATAAATAGATGAATATTATTTTGCAAAATGGTAAAAACTCCCAGGAAAAGGAAGAAGAAGCACGTGAGCAGCTCAAACTATGATGCAAACCTTCAAGACCAGCAGTGAATAGCACCAAGTCAGCAAATACACTAAGTTGCCTTAAGAATTCCTTCAAACTAGGACGTTCAAAAACCGTAACATAATTGACATTTGGTTTTCCATCTCCTTCCTTAAAAGTTCAACATGCTCAAGTAAATTCATAATATTCAGCTCTAAACAGGCCAATGCAAGATATCAAGTAATACACCTTATTTGAAGATATACATTCCAGTTCAAAACAATTCAAACCAGCTTCTATTGCTTGAGAACGAAGTGTGGCTGGTAAACTTGACGTCTCATATGCACAAACCAATGTTTCATCCAAATCAAGCATACCTACAAATGCACATGAAATTGGAATCGACATTAATAGCAGGAGTCTTGTGTTAACATAGGAAAATAAGATTTGGGGTTCAAGTAGGCAGGAGGGAGAAGTAAAAAGGAAAAATAATGAAAATAATGACACTTAATAAAATCTTACAACAGTCATCATAACTGAAAAGAAAAAATGACTCATCATACTTGGCTTTTACCAGTCATGAAATAGTTGTAAGCAGCATGTTTTGCAATTATATTCACAATTTTACTTAAATATTATTCACACAAGTATACTGGAAGTTAGTTCTCTTCAGCGGAGTGGTATAATATTATTTTGTTACTTAAACAAATCAAATAGTATTTGTCACTCATCTTTCATATCATTCCATAGTCCCTTAAAAGAGTTGCATTTTGCCACCTCAAAAAATTCCACAAATCAACAGGACCATGCCAATTAGCTGCTCAAGTAAAACTAGCTTGACATCAAGAAATATGAACAAAAAAAGGAATCACCACAAAATGAGAAAACAAAAACAATAAATAGAGCAACAGTAAGCCAAAGAAATGGTGGGCTGCTACAAATATTTGCTCTGAGTATGTGGGCATCAGAAACATGATGTTTATAAATGAATGCGGAGCATATTGAAGTTAGATAGGGACATGCCACCAAGGCACCTTCAATTACATTCTACTGATCTATTTTTGCTAGCAGATTCACCCATGTAATATGGTTACCGATCTTCATCATCTATTAAAAGTAATTTTACCTCCCTTTGCAGATGTAACATCACAAAACAAAAGGCTTTTCAAATTCCCGTGTTTCAACTGCCAACTTGTTGCCAAAGTACTCGCTTTGGTAGAGTCAAATAACATCGTAACTATCATATATGCATCAACATCCTCCTAAATAGTTCATTCAAGTCTATGACAACTATCTTAGAGAAAATTTCATCCAGCATATCCAATGTCCAATAAATTGTCTTTCCATCATCCTAATAACTTGAATTCTACTAGAATTTGTGGTGATCATGGATAGTAAATACAAACATAAACATACACCCATATGGATCAATTCTTCCCCACCACACAACAACTACGATGGCCTATAGTGCTGATATTACTTATTAGCATTTCTGTATATATGTTTGACTCTCCAGGGTGCGATGGTGGTGATACGACAAGATCTAGAAAGGAGGAGAGATATCGAAGAATGTGCAGAGGTGGCATGTGTATTGGATAGACTGAGGGAACGAATTGGTGATCACAAGGTCTGGTAACCAGTTCCGGCACATGGGCAGAAGGATCAGAGAATTTGCTAGTACTCAGACAAGCGAATCAACAAACCCATCTAAACCGCAGAATTTGCACCACCTACTACTAAAGTTAAAATTAGCATTTGTTTTCTGCATAATATGAAATCTGAAAGATAAACTTCATTAGTCATGAACAAATTAGAAGTTTTATAGACACAGATACTGTGTTAATACCATAACAAAAATAACAAGTCTTACCCCAGGGTCGACTACACACGGACTGTTCGACGTTATTGTAATCTATCATAAGCCAAACATAACAAAACAAATTGAAACCTAACGTGACAGATGCAGCCGTAGGCACAACATATTCTTTCAAGCATCTATTTCTGACAAAACCAACTTCAAAGGGGGAATTACTAATAACCTGAAGCATTTGTCTTTCCCCTCCCGGCATAACCAAAGGGGTAAAGGGGCAGTGAGAATGCGCGCACGCGTGCATATATATCTTGAAATGGATCAACATACATTAATATGACTACAGTAATAAGTCAAAGTAAAACCACTATCCGTCAAATAACAACAGAGCCATCAGTATTCTAATCATTACTTCAGGGACAATCTAAACGGGTGCAAACACTTCAAACTTGTGTGGAATTGTGGATACAGTCATCATACTATCAATGAAAATTAATTTCTGCTACTTCCTACTTGATTTATAGATCTTTTACCTCATGCGTCTTCTCGAAAACACTTATGCGAATTGTTCAACATCAATTTGGGGCTCATGCACATCTTCCTAACTTGAACCAGATTCATATGGTGGAAATAATCACTGCGTTTAAATTAAATGCTTCGATGGCATCTACAGTAATTGCAGTGGATATCTGTGGATGACAGACTCGCTATTGCTGTGGCAACAGTTCCTGAGTTTCATTTCTTAATGGCACATTAAGGTCCATTGTTGCTAGTCCCTCTAATTCTTGAATTGCTGCAATTGCACTGACTGGACTCGCAATGTTAAAATGGGGCTTGATCGAACCAAGAGATTCATTGACTTTTAATTGCTGTTATAATGAAACAGAGGAATGAATGATCACTTCGATGACAAGGTAATAAATTGACCAACTAAGCATTCATGTAAGAGACTATTTAAACTTACAAAATATTCAAGTTTCCTCCTCAACTCATGCTCAACAAATGTTCCCTGTTCCAGCAAAAATAATGCAATGAAAATGAACGTTTTCCATGAATTTAGACAGCACAAAAGGTAGGACATGCTGAAATTACACGAGAAAATTATTACATCATATATATATATTGAGACATAAGTAATTTCAAATCATATACTGTAACATAGAGCTCTATATTTTCTACAATCCTAAAATTTCCTTACTCAAACAGCAGAATTTATTCATCCTCAGATGCGTGCGCCAAATTGGGAACCTACAAAATTTGTGCGGCGTACATATGCTTAAGCGGCTTTCAATAAGGATTCTGAAGAAAAATCACCAGATTAATGTCTTTATACATTTATCGCAACGCAAACGGGAGAAGAATGAAGCTCAAGTTTACTAATAAGTCCAGGTCCAATGGAACGAGTTAGTGATCAACATAAAAGCATAACCAAAAAGTTGAGAAAAATGCCTCAAAATAAATACATAACCAAAGGCCATGACTTACAGAAAATAGAAACCAATCATATCCTCTCTACTTCCCACAGACGAAGAATATTGCCCCCGTAAAAGAGTAGGGAGGTAACTAGGATAAGATTTTTTTTTTCCTTTTTCTTTTTTTGTTTTAGGTGACATGAAAAAAGGATAAAGCCCAAACATTATAAAAGAGATGAACACTACGAATCAAGAGGGGGAAGAGAGTAGAAGACTGAAGCCGCAGTCTATCTTCCACCATCACAATGCAGTCAATAATTTCGAAAGGGAAACATATCATTTCAAATAAGCTAACCAAGCGACTTAAGAACAGTGCTTAGCTTGGACGAGATCAGAACCTATAGGGCATATTCATGGAAACGCTCGAGCCCGGAAGAATTTTCATGCATAACCACTAACAGAATTACCTTCTTTGGCCGGCCGACAGATTTTAACGCGGGATCTTTGGGTCTTCTAACCCCTGCAACAGTCGGAGGAGGCCGTCCCGGCAAAAGTCCCCCACCTGGGCTGCGCCCATGGCCGCTACCACCACTACCATGTCCAACAGCTTGTGGTGGCACTGCAGCTGCACTCTTCTTTGGTCTTCCTCGACCTCTTGGAGATATACTTGGTAAGCTAGCATCTGGCGGCACCGAGGTACCAATGCTAGCAGTTACGGTTTCGGCGGGTACAGCGGGACCGGGAGGAGCAAAAGGGATGGCCCTTACGTTCGTTTCATTTTTAGGAGGGCGGCCAGGACGCCTTTTGGTCCCATTAGAAAAGGCCGACTCAGATTTGCGCTTGGGAGGACGCCCAGGTCTTTTCGACCCAGGCGGTCGCCCCCTCCTCGCAGACGGCCCAGGCTGGTCCACTATGTTCGTGCCAGCGTTCGGTGGACGACCGGGACCCTTTCTTATCACCTCAGGGTTTGCGGGCTCATCTTCAAGACCAAGCGCAAAGAACACAGGGTTGGCGTTTTGTCGAACGCCAGGCTGAGGCAGCAGGT